ATGTTCGGCGATTAAGATTACTTTGCATTAGGTTACTGATTTTTTTTTTTTAACAAGATAACGAAAATCAACGAATTTAAGAACCAACGAAAATGCCCGTTTTGATAAAACCACGAAATTTCATGCCCAAGAATATAAGTGAATTCGCAGTATCTATATTTGGGCAGTGTGACCTAGTTTTTTACCCCAGGTCACCCATATTCGAACTTGACCTAGAAATCCTCAAAACAAACTAGACCTATTACTGAAGGTGATTAATACCCCCACCAGCATTTTTGACTTTTTGAAAAAAAAGTAGTCTGAAGAAAAATTTGAACACAAACAATCAACTGTGTACAAAGAAATATTTCAATTAACTGTAATCGCAACTGGGGTCTCCAAATAAGCTTGCTATACACAAAGTTTGATTACAATATCTCATTCTTAACTTCAGAAACCATTTTTCTTTTTTTAGTAACAGTGACCTTGATCTTGACCCAAGGGCGTCCAAAAACAATACCAGCCGGGGTCTTCATATTAGCTTACTATACACCAAATTTGATTACAATATCTCATTCCTAACTCTAGTTATTGTCCGGAAACATTTTTTTATTTTTAGTAACACTGTAACGGTGACCTTGACCCTAGGGGGTCCAAATGCAATACCAACCCAGGTCTTTATATAAGCTTCCTATACACCAAATTCGATTACAATATCTCATTCCTAACTCTAGTTATTGTATTGTCCGGAAACCATTTTTCTATTTTTAGCAATGGTGACCTTGACCTTGACCCCAGGGGGCCCAAATGCAATACCAACCCAGGTCTTCATATATGCTTGCTATACACCAAGTTTGATAACAATATCTCATTCCTTACTCTAGTTATTGTCCGGAAACAAATTTTCTATTTTTAGTAACGGTGACCTTGACCTTGACCCCAGGGGGCCCAAATGCAAAACCAACCCAGGTCTTTATATAAGCTTGCTATACGCCAAGTTTGATAACAATATCTCATTTCTAACTGTAGTTATTGTCCTGACACCATTTTTCTATTTTTAGTACCGGTGACCTTGACCCCAGGGGGCCCAAATGCTATACCAACCCAGGTCTTCATATAAGCTTGCTATACGCCAAGTTTGATAACAATATCTCATTCCTAACTCTAGTTATTGTCCGGAAACCATTTTTCTATTTTAAGTAACGGTCACCTTGACCTTGACCCCAGGGGGCCCAAATGCAACACCAACCCAGGTCTTCATATAAGCTTGCTATACACCAAGTTTGATTACAGTAACTCATTCCTAACTCAAGTTATTGTTCGGAAACCATTTTTCTATTTTTAGTAATGGTGACCTTGACCTTGACCCCAGGGGGCCCAAATGCTATACTAACCCAGGTCTTCATATAAGCTTGCTATATACCAAGTTTGATAACAATATCTCAGTCCTAACTCTAGTTATTGTCCGGAAAACCATTTTTCTGTCCGGAAAACCATTTTTCTATTTTTATTAACGGTCACCTTGACCTTGACCCCAGGGGGCCCAAATGCAATACCAACCCAGGTCTTCATATAAGCTTGCTTTAAGCCAAGTTTGATAACAATATCTCATTCCTAACTCTAGTTATTGTCCGGAAACCATTTTTCTATTTTTAGTAACGGTGACCTTGACCTTGACCCCAGGAGGTCTAAATGCAATACCAACCGGAGTTTCCACATAAGGTTGCTATATACCAAGTCTGATTACAATACCTCATTCCAAACTCTAGTTATCGTCCGGAAACCATGATGTGGACCGACCGACCGACAAGCTGACTCCTATATACCCCCCCCCTAAACTTTGTTTGTGGGGGTATAATCCTATATACCCCCTCTAAACTTCGTTTGTGGGGGTATAACTAGTAGACCAATTTTTTGGAAACCAACAGTAGCCACTAGAGTTCACAAGATTTTTCTATTTTTAGCTCCTGTGACCTAGTTTTACATCAGAGATAACTCATGTTCAAAGTCCTCTAAGCAATTAACTAGATAAGTGTCCTGACCAAGTTTGATGACAATTGAGTCAAAAATGTTACCATTAAAGATTAACCAGGTTTTTCCATATTTGGGCAATGTGACCTACTTTTTGACCCCAGGTAACCCATATTTGAACTTGACCAAGAAATCATCAAAACAAAATTTCAGACCAATTTCAAGGATATTTGGATCAAAACAGTAGCCACTAGAGTGTAGCCACTAGATTTTTCAACCTTCCTGACAAATTTCCAGAGTATTTGGTTTAAAACTGCAGTCACTAGATAGTAAACAATATTTTTATATTTTTAGCTCCTGTTACCTATTTTTAGACCGAAGAAGACCCATATTCGAATGTGACATAGAAATCATCAAAACAACCTTCCTGATTAATTTCCAGGATATTTGGATCAAAACTGCAGACACTACTGTTAACAAAATTTTTCTACTTTTAGCTCCTGTGACCTAGTTTTACACCGGAGTAACCTTTATTCAAACCTGACCTAGAAATCATCAAAACAACCTTCCTGACCAATTTCCAGGATATTTGGTTTAAAACTGCTGCCACTAGAGTGTTAACAAGCTTTTTCTATTTTTAGCTCATGTGACCTTGTTTTTGACCTGAGATGACCCATATTCTAACATGACCTAGATATTATCAAAACAACCTTCCTGACAAATTTTCAGAATATTTGAATCAAAACTGCAGCAACTAGAGTGTTAACAAGATTTTTCTATTTTTAGCTCCTGTGACCTAGTTTTTGACCGAAAAAGGACCCATATTCAAACTTAACATAGAAATCATTAAAACAACCTTCCTGACCAATTTCCAGGATATTTGACAAGCTTTTTCTATTTTTAGCTCATGTGACCTTGTTTTTGACCTGAGATGACCCATATTCTAACATGACCTAGATATTATCAAAACAACCTTCCTGACAAATTTTCAGAATATTTGAATCAAAACTGCAGCAACTAGAGTGTTAACAAGATTTTTCTATTTTTAGCTCCTGTGACCTAGTTTTTGACCGAAAAAGGACCCATATTCAAACTTAACATAGAAATCATTAAAACAACCTTCCTGACCAATTTCCAGGATATTTGGTTTAAAACTGCTGCCACTAGAGTGTTAACAAGCTTTTTCTATTTTTAGCTCATGTGACCTTGTTTTTGACCTGAGATGACCCATATTCTAACATGACCTAGATATTATCAAAACAACCTTCCTGACAAATTTTCAGAATATTTGGATCAAAACTGCAGCCACTAGTGTTAACAAGCTTTTTTCTATTTTTAGCTCCTGTAACCTAGTTTTGGACCGGAAATGACCCATATTCAAACTTGACCTAGAAATCATCAAAACAACCTTCCGACCAATTTCAAGGATATTTGGATCAAAACTGCAGCCACTTGAGTGTTAACAAGCTTTTTCAATTTTTAGCTCATGTGACCTTGTTTTTGACCTGAGATGACCCATATTCTAACATGACCTAGATATTATCAAAACAACCTTCCTGACAAATTTTCAGAATATTTGAATCAAAACTGCAGCAACTAGAGTGTTAACAAGAGTTTTCTTCTTATAGCTGCTATGACCTAGTTTTTTACCAGAAATGACTTATATTCAAACTTGACCTAGAAATCATCAAAACAACCTTCCTGACAAATTTCAAGGATATTTGGATCAAAACTGCAGCCACTAGTGTTAACAAGCTTTTTTCTATTTTTAGCTCCTGTAACCTAGTTTTTGACTGGAAATGACCCATATTCAAACTTGACCTAGAAATCATCAAAACAACCTTCCGACCAATTTCAAGGATATTTGGATCAAAACTGCAGCCACTTGAGTGTTAACAAGCTTTTTCAATTTTTAGCTCCTGTGACCTAGTTTTTGACCCGAGATGACCCATATTCAAACTTGTCCTGTATTTTATTGAGACAAAGTTTAACATTCTGACAAAGTTTGATTATGATCCAATCAAAACTGTGACTGCTTGAGTGTAAACAACCCAATTGTTGACGACAGATGACGACGGACATAGTCCCATCATTATACCTCAACTTGACCACTTTGTGTTCAGGTGAGCCAAAAATCAACTGATCTTGATGGTAACGGACCTAAATTTCTTACAACTAAAATTATTTCCAAACCCTTAGAAAAGATATTCACTCTCAATCAAATGGCATATTTCCTTCAATATTTAAAAAAGCAAAAGTTACACCTATACATAAGGGCAACAAGAATGAAGTAAGCAACTACAGACCAATTTCAATACTACCAGTCCTGTCAGAAATTCTAGAAAGACATGTTAGTGATCACTTAAAATCATTTCTTGAAGCTAACTCTCTTTTTCAACTAAATCAATCTGGCTTTTGCACAAATTATTCATGTGAAACAGCTCTAACTTCAATTGTTGACAACTGGATTAAAGCAATAAATGAAGAGAAACTTATAGTGACAATATTTCTTGACCTTACAAAAGCATTTGACTTAATCAATTATGAATTGTTATTGAAGAAACTAAAAATATATAAAATAGATAAAAATTTAATATCTTGGTTCGGATCTTACTTAAGTAATCGTTCACAACATGTATGTGTGTCAGGAAAATACTCTAATGCTCAAGATGTTACATCTGGTGTACCTCAAGGCTCAGTTTTAGGTCCTCTTCTTTTCATTACTTATATAAATAACATGTCTTTGCACTTATCACATTCTATTTCAAATATGTTTGCTTATGACACTTTCATTACAGTATTTGGACAAACTATCAATTCAATCTGTATAAATCTTCAGTCTGACCTTGACTCCATTCAACAATGGTGTACCAGAAATTCAAGGATTCTAAATGCCAAAAAAACACAAAGCAATGGTAATTTCCCCTTCACATAATATCTACTATATCATCAATAATTCTAGTGATTTCAACATCACTCTGCAAGATGAAAAGATTCAATTCTCAATTACAAATAATCTGTGTAAAAGTTTTCATAAAAAAATAGCATACCTGTTTAGTAAAAGAGCTTTTTTAACTCTGCTCTCCTGAAAGCCCATGTCTACAAGCTGTTTTTTATTCTCTTCATCTTCCTTTATAGCCTTTGGTTGTTCACTCAAAATCTCTGAAAAAACAAGATTGCATTGTGAAAAATGCTGTGCCACCGCATTAATGCAACACAAAATAGTAGTGTAGGAACAAAAGATTTTTTTAGTTTCTATATAACTGAACTTTGCCATAATGCAGTTGAGTTTAGTGAATTTGGTGGTCAAGGTCATTTTTCACATGGCCTAAATTTCACGACTGAACATCAAAAGTCAAGACAGATAGACACTTTGTCAAAATCTAGGTAAGCTGATATCAAAATTTCAAATTAAATCTTAATCTCTACACATGATTCAAATTTCATTTAAGAAATAACATCGGTCTTAGCAGTGTTTATCGGCTATTTAACACCGGTTTGGAGTTTTGTAGGCCTGAGTGGTTAATTTTTTTGCATCAAAACAACAAAACCGGGGTTAAATAGCCGATAAACACCGCTAAGACCGATATAATTTCGATTCTAACATGATGAAATAAAGAAGATCACTCATGGTATTTTTTCAAGCGGAAATAACTTCCGGTGCCGATTTTCGTATAACGCTGTTCGATTTTTGCACCCTACTGTTGCTAAGATATAGAAATTATTAAACAAAAGAAATAATAAGAAAAAACGTTTTTTTATCAAGTTTTCAACAATAAAAAATTACGTCTAAGAATGGATTGTATTGTGTTTATGTATGAAATGGCGTCAGCGTTTATGAATGTATACTTGGGATGACATCATTACGCTGCTTATGGATTGGCTCCGTTTTGTCAAAATGTTAATTAACTGATATAGATCAAATATGTGGCGTCAGTGTATGCGAGATATTATTTCAGTATTGTATAAAAAGAAAACATTATAAGAACTGAAAATATAAATAGAGATGCTTTTTATTGTTGCTTTAAAAGGCTTTGTTAACCATATAATCGAGGGTGAAAACATAACAGCCGCATATACAAGTAGTCCCTAGTCAGTGTTTATTGGCAGTTTAACACTGCTTTTTTTTCTTCTTTGTCTATAGTGACAAAATCATGGAGTATTTGAATTCTATTTTCAGCCCTCCTGACTGAGATGTTCAATTGAGCAGAACCATTTGAACAATTGTAGTAAAGCTTCATGCTAGGAACATCCAAGGAAATTTTCATCAAATTTGGCCCAGTGAAATCGTTTGTATAAAATGTTGACGACAGATGCAAGGACGCACTGACGAAAATTCTAACGGGACAGTAATAATGTGGCTACTCTATTGTTCGCTATATTGTTCTTTTTAGCCACACAAAAGAAAATAGCCACATGAAAGCATTACGGAATGAACATTAAAAAGTAATAGATTTAGGAAAATAAAGGGAGGTTAAAACATAAATATATTGGGAGGAAACATATTAATAAATTCATACACTGTAATCTCCCTTTGTAATATATACACTTATATAAGGATTTTGAAAGTCAGTGTGACCTTGACCTGAGGTAGTCCAAAACTACGCTCTGTACATCATCTCAGTAATATAAATATTTCTGCCGAATAGATTTAATTTCATACTATCAGTTTAAAAGAAACAGAGCAGACACAAAATTTTGAAATGATACAAAATGACTAAGTGTAACCTTAACCTTGACCTGGGAATTGTCAAACCTGCACTCTGCATATCGTCTTATTATGATTAACATTTCTGCCATAGTTTCAATTTCTTTCCACTGGTTCAAAAGATACAGACCGGACACGAAAACTCAATAAGTCTATGTAAATCAATTAATCCCCTGCCAAAAAGTTTTAATTTCCTTCTATCAGTTCAAAAGATTCAGAGCGGACAAAAAATTTGATATTGAAACAAAATGACTAAGTGTGACCTTGACCTGAGAAAGGTCAAACCTGCTCATTATGGAATACATTTCTGCAAAAACAATATGTCACCCGAAAATTTTTGGTGGAAAATTTTCTCTCACACTAAAATGTAAATTATGTATGGGATTATTAGTGATTGGATTTTATATTTAGTATGGTTTCTTTGCAAATTGAACACATAAATTGCGTACTAAATCATGAAAATATAACTTGAATAAGTTGAAATTTGGAAATATCTTCTTTGTTTGAAAACTGTGTGCAATGACTGATGCGCAAACGTTGAAATGTGTTTACTGTAGACATATTGAATTGTGATCAATAATCATTGATCGCTGGTATATATAAACTATGGCACTCCGACAAAATCTAATTTGCTTGCAATGTATACAGAGTTATAAGCTATATCTCAGAAATCGTTACAGGTTTATGTCGTTACCTAACAACAGAAACTAGTTCTTCATTCTGCAGTAGCATTACATTCCGACTAAACATCATTAAAATAGTGTTTACAAAGTTGTTTAAATACTTTGAAAGTTCCAAATCGTTCATTTTCATGAAATAATAGACTCTACATTCCTTTAAAGAAAACAAAAAATAACAGTTCATTGATAAAATCGTAGTTTATACCTACACGTTAAACTTTGCATATACGCATGCGCTTGCTAGCATGAATGAATACATCGTAAATATAGTAAAGTCGTCAGAGTAAAATCGATACCGCTTATGCTAAAACAATACAAAATAAGCCGTTTTTAAACCGCTAGTTTGTTGTGATTAAACGTCCTATTTTAAAATGTATTACACCAATAAAAAGCTTTGGATCTTAGCTTCATCACAGTACAAACTTCAATACATCTTTTGACTCCAAAGTATTTAAATTAACTGTTAAACCTACCATATGTCAGACCATTTTACATGCGATTTATACAGTGAGATATGCAACCCGTTATCTTTACTCGAAATACAACTGATAAGAATAGCCTGTCGTCTGCTAGTTCTGAAAGTGTATATCGGTGTATTATATAAATGGGACGAAACATCTCAGATAGATATTAAATCAAATAAAATTCCTGATTTACATTTATGCAATAAAATTGCTCTAAAATGTTTTACAAAATGAGTATGGAGCTCCGTAACAAAATTTACCAGCGTATACCGGAAAATGTTTTTCTTTAAAAAAAATCTGGCAATTATCGTGACTTCGAAAAATAGAAATTTCGTAAGCTATTCTTTTGAATACCTTTTTTTACACATGATTTTCTTTTCACTTTTGTATGCCTTAGATTTTTGAAAAGAAATATGTTTCGAAATTCAGCAAGATTGCCTGATTCAGTACGGGTAAAAATAAAGATTCGGCCACTCGACCGTTCGACCCATAACAATTCGTCGAACTTGGGATATTGACGATTAAGCCAGAGCATGGAGCTAAATATAGGCATATGTGGCCAGATTCGACGAGAAGAAATAATCATTTGAAACTGTAAATCAGTGTAAGCATTAAGAAATAAATACATTAAATTTATGTTATTTTAATCTGCTTATATTAATTGCCGAAAAACACCAAAAAAATACCGAAAAACACTTAAAATTACAAAGAAATATTAATTCAGCAATATAAACTATTTTTGATGGTTATTTGATGAAATTGGTTTTTGTCGGTTATTTGATGAAATGGGTTCAATAATATCAGTTTTAAATCGATGATATATACAATTGGTATAATTCCAACAAAATAAGTTTTATCTACTTTTTTCTATCCTTTAAATGATTAAAATTTACTTTCTTTTTGCAATCAGTGTAAATTAAAGAATGATTCTATTCTGTATTAAATGCGATATGAAAGTGTTTTTCGGCAAAGTAACAGTCTAGCGTAAAAAAAAAACAACATGGAAAAGCCGGAAAACACATTTTTACGGGCGTTAAAATAGTCGTAGTTAAAACAAGAGCCGCTATTTTTTTTTTTCAACCTTTTAAATGAATAACTATTACTTTCTTTTGTTACCAATGTAAAATGTCAGTGATGTTATTTTTATAAATACAGTATGAAAGTGTTTTTCGGCTACGTAACAGTCTAGTGTCGAAAACATGGAAAAGCCAAAAAAAAAAAACAAAAAAACAACACATTTTACTTGCGATGAAATGGACATTTTTAAAATAAGAACTATTAAATAAAATTTTCAACCGTCTAAATGAATGATTATAATTATGTGTAAGCAATGTAAAATATCAGTAATATTTTTGTAATAAACATTGTATGAAATTGTTTTTCGGCTATGATACTGCCTAGCGTCAAAAACATAGAAAAAAAAAACCAAAAAAAAAACACACACATTTTACTTGCAATAAAATACTAGATATATTTTTAAAAAAAGCTGCTTAATACATTTTTCAACCGTTTAAATGAATAACTATGACATAAAATTTATTACCTTTGTAAAATGTCAGTTATTTTTTGTAATAAGTACAGTATGAAAAAGTCAGTGGTGATACTTATAGGTTGGCTCAGGGTGAGGTTTTAGATTGTTGAATGTCGGCCATCCATCTTATGCCAACTCTGGTCTGTCTACATTTAGCATCGTCGGATACCCACGGCCGAACCATTTACATTTATCAGTTATGTCATGTTAAATGTTAATCAACCATGTGAATCCGACGCTGACATTACAGTTGTTAACAATCTGCTGGTCATTTAGTTTGTTAACACTCTACTGGTCACACTTTTGTCCCAATTGTCACACAACATCGTAAGAATGTGTGTGACAGGTTTTGCTCGAGTTTGAACATGGATCACCTTGGTTGAAAATCAGAAGTAGGTCACAGTAACCAAAAAATAGAAAAAATGTTTTAGCTCAATGGTTCATCTAAAGTTAAGAAGTTGGTAACACAACATAATTATGGAAAACCCCTTGTTAACTTGCTATCCAATATAAATGGATTTCTTGGAAAGGTTGTTCATGAAGACTATATGTAACAATTATTGAATAATGAAAATATTACAGTACATTTGAATCGTTTTGATTATAGATTTCATTTTTATTAATAAACGATAAAGTAATGCATTTGAAAATTAATGTGTAGAGATTAATACAACACACCGGAATATATTTATTAATGCATCAAAGTACAGTACATAGATGTACTATAATTTGGTAATTAAGTCTTGTAGGATGATTCAATTAATTGACTTTGTATAGAG